TATATATATATATATATATATATATATATAAATCTAATTAGTATATATTCTATTAGTATATATTCTAATCAATATATATTCTTATCAATATTACTATTTAGAGGATTTTCCTCTTAAAATAAGAAACTCTTATTGGCGCTTATTTTAGTATAAAATATACTTAAAGTAAGTGGGATATCCTCAAAACAAGAATACAATTTTTTCGGTGTAGAGATTTTGAGAGGCGGTATTTATTTTGTTTCTCATATCAGAGACATCGAATAATACCAGATAAGAAGAAAAACTCATGTTTTTGATAAATAAGTAGTAAAAACAATTCACTAACGCCAGAGTTTATTATTCAGGTGACAATAATTGGATCTTTTACCCTACGTGTGGACAAATTCTATAACGTTCTAGTTACATTTTATCTAGTTGAACCGAACGATTTCATACACGATTGAATTTTGAATCGCAAATACGGAACATGTCCATACGTACGAAAGACTTTCCGCGCGCGAAGAGACCGCGTTGAGAAGTGACAGAAACATTCATTTTGAGAACGTTCGTTGTGAACGGTTTCATTAAAAAAAATGTCACAACGAGCGAGTCTGTTCTTTTATCTGATTTCAGAACGCAAAAGACACACACGCTCTAATTCGTCGAGCGGTCGTAAAGGAAGAATCGATCACACGGTTGTGCATTTTTGCGCTTATCGCAATTCCCCGCCTTGGCATACGTACACGCTTCGTTTCGCATACGAGCGTGTTCGTCGCGCGGACTCGCTATTCTGCGGTCAGCGGGCGGGTATTGGGTTACAATCGTTCGTGCGTTATAAGATGCGTCGAGATGTGTGTGCGTGTTGTGTCCCAACACAACGAGCAATCTTATTTTTCTTCTCGCGTCCGTCGCCGCGCAAACGGACTTCGATCACATTTCGCGCGCGGTGACGTCCGCGATGATAACGCGGGGAACGAAGGTCCGAGGACGAGAGCGCGAGGATGTCACACGCGTATCGTCGCGTATACACACACGCTTCGCGCACCCCGCCATTTTTGGTGGCGACTTCCTCAGAATAGAGCTAGAAGAAACGGGAGAGGTGGTTTCCGATTCTCTTCCCCTCTCTCTTTCTGTTGTCTTCTTCTCGCTCACCGTTTCTCGACCGCTGTGTGTCTCTCTCTCTTTCTGTTATTTTCTGTCTCTCTCTCTCTCTCTCTCTTTCTTTCTCTTCGGTTCGTCTGCATCTGAGAAGCTTCTCTTTTTCGTTACGCTTCTTTGCTCTCTTGTGCAATCGTGCAATCTGCTTCCTCTCTCTTCTTTTCTCGCTTGCGTTTCTCTCTCTCTGTCTCTCTCTCTTTTCTGCCTCCCCGTCCATCCCTTCGCGCTGCCATCACAGAGTAACGCAATAGCATAGTATTCGGTTAACGGACACCCCCGCGAAACGGTTGGCAGAATGGTCTGACTAAGAGACACACACACGCACGCACAAAAGCGAGAGGGAAGACGCGCGAGAGAGACGGGCCGAAGGAATCCTCGAAAAGCTGTGCCAGATAAATTGGACCGTGTCCATCGCTTGCTGCCGTAATAGTCGAAAGTCAAGAGAAATTGGACGATAAACCCCGAGCGAGACTCGAAAAAAAAAAAAAGAACAGATTTTCAGGCCGAATAAAAAAAAAATGCTCGAGAGCGAAATGACGTTCCGGATTTTTTTTTATCGGCTTCGGTTGCAAAACAAAAATCGATAAAAATTCTTTCTTCGCGGTTTTCTTTTTAACGATCGCTCAGGAGTTTAACTTGGTGAATAAACAATTCAGAAAATCAAGGTTTGGCATCTGAGCGTCCCGTCCCATTGAGAGCCAACGCGGATGCGCAAATAATATTCATTCCTGCACAAATAACAAACACGTGTTTTGATTCTAGCTCGGGTTCTCGCTCAAGTGCAACAATATTGGAATATAAAACAAAAAAAAGTGTCGTAATGTTAAGTTAAAAGCAAATTTTCGCGCGAGAAACAAATTGCCGGAGAAAGACCCCGATTTCGGTTGGTTTATTTATCTTAGAAGAAAAAGATTTTTCGAAAGATTTGTTTGCTATGTTATTGCAAAAAGCTTAAAAAACTGTCCGTCAATCGAAGAGTCGGAAAAAGACTAAACGAAAGTACATCGAAATTTTTTCGGGAGCGTGAATCACGTGGTTTTATCTCGCGTCGTATGTGTGAATTAAAAAAAAAAAACAATCTAACGGATAATTGTCAAATTTCTAGGGATTCGGTTTGGAGAGAGAGAGAGAGAGAGAGAGAGAGAGAGAGAGAGAGAGAGAGAGAGAGAGAGAGAGAGAGACGTAATAATTTGCAGGCGCGCGCGGGAATTTGCGGCATTGCCCGCGGATTCAAGACAGGTGCGGTGTTTTGGAAACTATTTTGCTCGTCGTCGCATCGACAGCTGCCACGGGAACGCAAACGGGGTTAATTAAATCACTCGTTTGTCTTTGGCGAAGAATGGCGTGTGTTCGATTGGCGAGCCGCGGCGTGCGAGAGTTGGCCTCTAGCTTTCGCGCGAAACTCCGATCGATCGGCTCGTGAGTTTCTTAAATAATGTTGCGTTGGCGTTAGCTGCTATATACATTTATATTGCCGCGCGACTTCATCTTTCTCGCGATTTGTTTAATCAGTTTTCCGCGTCTCTTAAGTTTATACGCTTTTTTGTCTTCGGAGACGAAGAATGTGCGTTTGAAAAAGAGAAGCGACGACGAAGACGACGACGAAGACGACGACGACGACGACGAGATCGAACGCGACGGCCAGTGCCTAGTTTACGAGCCACTAAAAATACAAGAACGAACGGCCTCGCCCATACCGAGTCGTCGTCATTTTCTCGTCTTCTCGCCGCTTGTTGTCCGCGGCCGGTCTTCGCCAAGGGCGCCCGCGAACGCTCCCGTTTACACACTTTGTTTGGAGTAACGACCGTTACATTTCGAGCGAAATTAAGACGAGGCGATCCTCTGTCTTTAGAACGCGAGTTTGGCTCGCGGGAGAACTGTCGTCGTCGTCGTCGTCGTTTCCGCGCCGCTCGAGAACTCGGAGAGAGAGAGAGAAAATCCAATTAGCGCGAAAGAGAAGAGATTGTTCTTCTTCTTTTTCTTTCGAAATGCGAGAAGAACGATAGGAAGTTGGACGCATCGCCCGAAATCATCGTTCGAAACCGCTGCTGAAATAACAGAAATTTGTCCCGAAGACGACGCTCGCACGTATAAAGTGGAGTAACAATATAAATAAACCATCGCGGACGTAATGTGCAAACACAGACCGACAGCGTAAACATTAGAAATAAATCGCGCTACCGATTGCCCGTCGGTGGTTTGTGTTCTTTGAACACATCGAACTGGTCTATGTCCTTTTTTTTATGAACTGAATCTCTCTCGAAGAGATTCGCAACAAAAAAATTAAAAAAATTGAACAAAATTGTAATGAAATATGTGCGAAATAATTATAATTAATCCTTAACCCGCACTGTGGGGTGGAATCTACCCCCCAGGTATTTTTGCACGAAGATATAGATCTACGTAAATCGTTTTTTTTTAGGAAATTTTTTTCACTAACTTAAAATTGAAAAATCATTAAAAAAAAACTATGACGTCTTTTTATAGATGCTTCAAATAGTGTATACACTGAAAAAATTATATTCTTGTAAGTAGAAGATTTTATACTTAAAAAATCTTCTTCAAGATTTTAGATGATATTCTTCTGAAATTAAAAA